TGGTATCAACAATCAAGGGTATTTCCCTGTCCCCAGACGACCTGCTTGTCAGTTTTGATGTAGTTTCCTTATTCACCAAGGTTCCTGTACCTGACACCATTGCAATCATTGAAGACTTGGTTCATCAAGGACTAAACACTGAGGTACCCCCCCTGGTGAGACACTGTTTAACCAATACATACTTCACTTGGAATGGAACTTTCTACAAACAAACTGAGGGCACCCCAATGGGCTCCCCCCTTTCTCCAGTTATAGCTAACATTTTCATGGAGAAATTTGAGACTGACGCCATCCAGACTGCCACTCTGCGCCCAACCTTATGGAAGAGGTACGTGGATGACACTTTTGTCATCTGGCCACATGGCCGGCCTGCTCTAGACAAATTCTTCGACCACATCAATTCCATACACCCAGCCATCAGATTTACCATGGAAGTCGAAATAGATGGCAAGATACCTTTTTTGGATGTCCTAATTAAAAAGAGACCTGATGGTTCAATGAGCCACTCTGTCTACAGGAAAGCTACCCATACGGATGCTTATCTGAAACCGGATTCCCACCACCATCCATCACAGAAGAATTCTCTCATCAAGACTCTGTATCATAGAGCCCAATGCATATCCGACCAGGAACACATAAGCAGTGAACTCAAGCACGTACACCAAGCTCTTAGGGCTAATGGTTACTCCGACTATACAATCCGCAAAGCTATCACTCAAACCATGAAGAAGAACCCTCTTGAGGAGCCTTTCAAAACCATCACTTTACCCTACATTGCTGGGATCACAAAAAAGATCTCCAAAATCTTGAATAAACACAAGATCCAGGTCCGTTTCAACACATTACATAAAATCCGTGATCTGGTTCCGTCTGTAAAAGATGTGATTCCGGACATACAATACCCTGGTGTCTACAAACTAAGTTGCCTCTGTGGTAGTAGTTACATTGGAGAAACCAAACGCCATATCTCGGACCGCATTCGTGAACATAAAGCAGACCTTAATCACGGTAGGACCAACACCTCGGCCGTAGCAGATCATTGTTCTAATTCAGTAGGCTCACATGCCATTGACTTTTCCAAGACGGAGGTTCTTTGTAAGCCATCTGGCTTCCATGAGAGATTCGTTCATGAGGCTATCCACATATACAAACACAGAGACAATTTCAACCGAGAAGATGGATTCTATCTTAGCAATCATTGGAAAGATTTGATAAATCATTTCAGTTCTTGATTGATTGTTCACGCTTACAGTGCCTTTCAGACAGCATACATAAAAACAAATTTCGTCTCCCCCCTCCTCTTTTCAAAAAATAGATGGACTAGTCCTGGCAAACTGCCATAGTTGCGCGTGACGCAAACGTTATTTTTATATATATATAAATAAATATGCCGTTTTCAAAATAAATTTATGCAAACCGACACACCTGATGATGACCGTTTGAGTTATGGTCGAAACGTCGTGAGAATTTTTTATTGTTTTATATATATATTGTTATTTTGTTGTTTCTCTTCAACGTGACTTTACCGAAAAAACTAAGAATATAACATTTGTTTAGTTTCAGACGGATCTGAAAAAAAACAATAGAGTGATGTCACAACAAAAATTACGCCACTTTCGTGATTTTTCTGCCAAATGCGCCATCGGGTGACGTCTCTATGTTCAACGCAATGACATGTTGTGCTAGTACGGAATGGACGTTATCCCAAAAATTCCGCAAGAGATCTGAAACTGCCAAATCCCAAATGTTAAATCGGATGCTGATTTTTTTCTGTGTGTTTAGTGTTGTTGTCCTTCCCCCGCACCTCCGATTATCAAGGTTGGTTACATACACTCACCCACTCACTCATTCACTCACTCGCCACACTGCAGGTCACAACTACGCACTCACCCATCACTCATTTACTTACCCACCCACCCACTCACCACACTGCAGGTTACATGTACATGCTTAAAAAACACACACACACACACAGACGTGTACTTGAACGTGCACACGTTTGAAGATAGGTAAATCGAACCCGGGACTTCCAGCTGAGCTGGCTCCGTGTGCTCCGATTCGTGAAACTCGAGCCAGACGGCCCCCTAACCCCCCCCCCCCCCCCCCCCACTGCAACAAATCTGGTCCCAATTACCGCCCAGCTCGCCGGCACTCTGCCGAAAACCCCACGATGCAACGGAAATTTGCGGTGGAATGCGCAAAATTGAAGTCCCAGGCATAGCCTCAAGGAGACTCGGGGGTCTCCTTCACACCGAGACGGCGGCGAAAATCACGGGGCTAGACACGCCGGGGGCTCGCGCAGACACGACGCCGGGCACCGTGACGGTCTCGGCGATTGTGTCGAGGCCCTCCCTGCCCTGGGAACTGCGTTGTAATTCACTCCACGCCGAGTCCTAATGTGCACCGCTTTGTGTTACTTTATTTGTATTTATTTTAATTAGGGGGCGCCGCAGTGGCGTAGATGCTAACGCACTCGCCTGGTATGCAGGAGGTCGTGGGTTCGAGCCCGACCTTGACAGCCTGCTGTATATTTAGAGTTTGCACGTTCTTCACGTGGTCACGTGCATTTTTCTCAGGGTCCTCCAGTTTTTTTCCCTCCGCATTTAGAATCAACATCGCGCGTTTAGAGGATTTGGCCGCTTTAAATTTCCATACGATCAGCCACTTCGTTGGGCCATCATTTGTGGCCAAGTTGCTTCTGAAAAACGGCTGCATAGCTCAGTGGGGCCTTACCTGGTAAAATAAAAGATATTTCATAGTTTAGTTTAATTGTTACTTGCTGCCGTGTTGCAACAGTTAGCACGACGCTGGACTTGCAATCCAGAGGTCGCCGGTTCAATCTCCTGGGGCGCGTTTCTCAACCGCCCTTTGCCTGTCCGGCTAGCTGCAGGATACATTTGTACGCCGCAGTTAGTCAATCGGCAGGTAGTGCACGGTGGGGCAAAGTGTGGGTACTCCCTGACCTTTTCCAATACCTTTGATCAGTGTGGTGGTGCGGTTGCACTCATCACAATGGGCGACCCAGAGTCAGCGCCGTGCAGATGGAGGCCAGTCCCTCGAAAGGATCAACGACGCTCAATATCCCACAAAGTGGTACTTATTTTAATCGGCTCTAGAGGCATGATGGGCGAAGCTGACCACCACCGAGCACAATTTGTAATTGCCTCTGCTCCTGCGGTACTGCAAGAAGGTTGAAGTGATAACCGCGCTAAACGCTGGGCCACCCAGAAAGCACCCGTTGAGGGAAATTTGAAAAAGCCTGGTCTCTTGTATTCAAAGTTAGTCACAAGCTGCATAACAGCTGTGTGCTTTTGTGTTACATGAAGTTTCTACTCATGACACACCACGAGAAGGGGAGCAGAGCCAAGGGGATGTGCATTGCGTGCCTTCAGATACGCTTATGCGGCCGTCTGGAACGCTCTTCCTTTTGACAGTTAGCAGCCACTGGAGCGATGCATTTTTAAATCATCATCTAGATTGAAAACGAATTTCTTCAGAACTGCTTTTTGTGTTTAGTTTGTTGTCCTTTCCCAGCACCTCCACTTAGCATGGTTGGCCACGTACGTTTCGAAATAAGTTCAACATACATATAATGAACGGGAAAAGGATGGGATGCCGGCATGGAAGTCCCCAAGACAGACAAAGAGGAGGGCACGGCTCAAGATGAGCGGCAGCAAGGAGGGCTGAGCAGGAACAGGGAAGAGGGGGAGAAGGAAAGACCGGGTCAAGATGTCAGGGATGAGGGGGCAATGGTGATGATGATGAGTGGGGAGGGAGGACAGGGAGAAAATGAAGGAGCGAGCAGACGTGAGCCGCACGGAGGAGCAGCGTCTGTTTTCACAGCGGGCAGGGAGAGGGAAGGGGTTTAGAGTGAGGGTGGCCATACATAAGTCACGTGATTTACGAGAGGCTTGAACTGATTTGGAGAGAGAGAGATAGAGAGACATATAGAGGATGAAATACAACATCGACCCATTGCAGAGCGGCGGGCAGATGAAATTCGCATCGGAAATAAAAACTGACGATTCACTTTCTCAATTTGCCACTCTGCTCCCGAGAATGTATCGTGGGAACGCGGTTTCCGCTTTCAAATCCCCCTCTCCTCACGCCGGGCTCCATCGCGGCTCCGAGGACGCCGCGATGCACATCGGCGGAGGCGATGGATCTCGAGCGTGGCAGAGATGTCACTGGGGGGCGCTGTTGCAGTGTCATGCCACAGGATGTCGTATGTTGTGCTGCACAGAGTGCGCGTTCTGATGTTTTCGGATTTGCAGGTTTCGGCTTGATGGTCCGACGTTTCACTCCATGCGCTGGGAGCTCATTCAGTTTTACGGTTTCCCCTTCGTTTGCTCAATAAGCTCCCGGCACGTGGAGTGAAGCGTCGGCGCCTTGTGGCGAACAAATCCCGACACGACCCGACAGCACGTTGGAGGTCCTCGAGCAGCGTGCCTAAGATTCAGTGATTTTTTTTCTTCTTCTTCTCAGTAACGACACCGCAAAACCCACATCAGACAGTTTATGACACAAATCTAAGGTGAATTGTGTCATAACCAATCTGTATGGCTCTTCTCCCCCCGCCCCCCACTTCTCCCCGGCTAAGTTACTAAGACCACAACACATCCACCGCGGTGTTGGCAGGGCGTCTGCCTCGCGTCTCCCACCGGCGCGCTTTGTCGCCGTTACGTGGCGCCGAAATTCCCCTGCGCGGTATCCATGCCACGGCCTGCGGCCCCTCCCCCTCCTAAAAGCCTTCCGAGCCGCCCCCCCAGACGCCCCTCAGGTCCTCTAGGCATGGTGGGCACGACCCGCGCGCTGGCCTGAGGCACCTCCTGAGGCACCTCCTGAGGCACCTCCTGAGGCACCTCCTGAGGCACCTCCTGAGGCACCTCCTGAGGCACCTCCTGAGGCACCTCCTGAGGTACCTCCGCAAACCCCGGGGGGATGGGGGCAGCACGTGCGGCGGTGTTTCGGGCCGCTTCTGGCGGTGGTCGTCCCCTTACCGTCGCGGCGTCCTTGACCGCGGCCTCCGCGTCCCGCAGCCTCTGCAGGAGGCCCTTCTCCTTGGCCTTGAGCTCGGCCTCCTCGCACTCGCCTCGATCGATCTCAGCCTCCAGCCTGCAACACAAACACGCGCCAGTCAGCACGGTCCAGTGCGTTTGTTGTTGCTGTACAACAGGCCCTTTGTGTCATTCCGCTTGCTGGATGAGGACTTCCTCCCCGCCACTAGGATTGCCACCTGTCCTGGTTGCACCAGGATTGTCCACTTGTTGAGGTAGCTGACCTGGGGAAATGTGTAAGTCTGCCTTGGACTAATACGAGTCCAGGTTTATGCGATTTTGCGGAATAATGTACCGCTCAAAACAACGCAGTCACATGTTGGTCTTCACTCTTTAACTATTGAGGGATATTCGCGTAATTCCCATGTTATGTTCCGGTTCTTTTTCGGACAACCACCATGTCGTGAGAGTCATTGGGATTACTTTGTTATCCTTCACCATGCTGGTAAGTGCCGGTGGGCGAAGACCCAGAGGGCTTCCAGAACCAGCTCAGATATCAACCATCACCACTGACGTCATCTGCGGCAATGAGTTGCACCCAGGTGGCCGGGTGAAAAGTGGCCATACACGCCTGTAATCCAGCCCTGTCGTGGCAGCGAGTCTTGGTGAATCGCACAGATGTTGCGGCAAGGTTCGCCGCGTGGAGCGGCGAGGAGGTGCCCCGTACCCTGACCTTGCCAGGAGAAGGCGGTCAAAAAAAGTGTGGACTAATATCATCGGGCCCCATCTGTACGGGGCAGTATCACCCCCTCGCACGTGTGGGCTTTCTCTGGGTGCTCCGGTTTCCTCCCAACACGTCACCAGTCGTTAATTGGCTGGAAAACAATCTTAATCTATGCGACTCCGTGTGTCCTGATCGCGCAGCGTTGTGAGATGGAGTTGCAATAATTACTCTGTGTAAAAAAAGGCTCAATGTGAATATTACTAAATAGTAAGCCACAGGCTCCAAACGTTAAACTAAACTATTTAGAGCGGCCAAATATTGAACATTGAGCATGGATTGTGACAATTTGGGGATCACGATTCCATGAACCAATGTATTATTTTTGCCATCATATTTATACCGTCTCGTTTGTATTGTTGCGTTTCATTGTACAGTTTTTGTCTATTCCGTAAGAATAAATACAGAAGATATATATAGCAGCATAACAGCGAGCGCGAGGTAATTATTAATTGTGTACCAATCTAGATTTTAAGTTTTCATGACTGCCGGGGTTGTGTATCCCGTTTCCGTAACAACATAAATACGACTAAAATAGAATCAATTCTTACCGCGCACAATTCAATTCCAGCCTGCATTGTGAGCGTGGCAATCAATCCGAATGAAGAAGCCGTGCACCCATATTGCATGTTGAACAGACACCGCCACCCACGCCATCCCCGGCTCGTTCACTGTAAGAATTGCAATGCGTGGCAGGCTGCACGTTTTACACGGTAGCATTTGGGTGAAATTCATCGCAAGGTCAAGGTGGAGCGCCCCCATTGCTGATGGGAAAATGAAGGAAGCCGCTGATCTTTTGTGTTCCCCCAGCTTACAACAATCTCCACGATTCCGCGGACGTTATACAGATTGAAAATGTAAGCCGGCATTGGGAGCGCTCATCGTGAAACGTAATCACTCTCACAGGGGTGCTGTAATGTAATCCCACAGCTGGTATTTTAAAGGTAATGTGATTTTTATATATTTGATTACATAAGCATTAGTCTTAAAAAATATACACATTTGGTTGACGTGCGACGAATGTGGGCTATGTTCCGCAACATATACCGGCTGCAGACCCCGATACATTATTTTTTAAAATGGATTTAGATTCACCTTAGAAGTATTTTTTATTTCATTTAAATAGCCCACTCTGACTTGGACATAGGTCGTTTGCCCTTTTCATTGTCGTTGCAACAGGATCCTGAACTCCCGACTGAAGGGCATTGTGGGGGGGGCTGCAGCGATCCATGGAGAAGGCCCGGCACCACCACATGCTCAGATTAGCACGGTTGGCTACAGACGGTGCGAAAGAAGTTAGCTAAAATAAACTTGTATTTTAATAGGTAAAGGCCCACTGAGCTATATAGGCTATTTTTCAGAGGCGACCTGGCCACAAATGATAGCGCAACAAAGTGGCTTATCACCATGTGGAAATTCATAGCAGACAAATACTCAAAACGTGTGATAGTGATTCTAAATGTGTAAAACCGGAGGGCCTGGAGAGAAATCCCCACGACCACGGGGAGAGAGAACACGCGACCTCCTGCATACCAGGCGAGGTAGTTAACATCTCGCCACCGCGGCACCCCAGGGCCACTTTGCAAGGGCATTACATGATGGCCACCAACAACGCTCACATCTCACAGAATAGAAATAAAAAGCACAGCAGAGCAGCAATTGGGGATTGCGAGCACCTGCTTTTGTAGTCCGATTTACACCAATTGGGGATTGCCACTACCTGCTTTTGCATTCCAATTTACAGCACTTGGCATCAATTGTAATGGATTACTCCCCAACGCTGTCACACGATGCAGCGGTGGCCCGGTCGCCTCGGGAGATGGCAGCACCGGAGCTCCGCGGCCCGTCTCACGTTCCGGGGCTCACCGCCACCGCCGCCGCCGTGACAGACACCAGACTCGGGGGGTGGGTGGGGTCAGAGCCAAGCGAGGTAATTCGAGCCAATCTGTCGGGCTAAATTGTGAAGCCAGCGGTGTGATGTTTAGCGAGTTAAACACACGCGAGACAATAACAACCACAACAACCACAACAACCAGCTCCGGTCGTTTTCAACTCCTCAAGCGGAATAGCTAACATTAACCGGTCACGGCTGACCTCAGCGGTGAGTGATATCTGAACTAGTTCTGTGGCCTGAACCTCTGGTAAGCTCCTGGGCATCTGTGAAAAAGAGCTTTATAGCTCATCGGATTCATCCAGCATAAAAATATATCTGAATCTGAAGAGGGTTCTGTTATGTTTTTGCAGTAGGGGGGCAATGCTGCTGCTGTGTGCAATCTGGATTGATTGATTTGCAGTGTAGTGTTTTCAGCAATAATAATAATAGATTACACTTCTTTATAGCGCCTTTTACTTCGGAAGTTGCAAGGCACATTGTCATGTTTGGCCTGCACCAGTCACATGGTCCATGCTGGTGACCTGTGAGGTCAGTTCCCTGCGGAGGGTGAACTCAGTCCATCATTATCATCCAATGCCCACGCCGATCTTGTTTAGCGACCGTGAGTGACTCAGATTCAACTTTAGACATTGTTATTTTTCTACAGAGTTATTCAATTGGACGACAATCAGAAGATTCCGTGTTCAAATCCTGGTTGGGGGTTGACTCAGCCCATCATTCCCCAGGAGGTCATGAAGACGGGCATCCTTTTGTGGGGAAGCCAACTGTCATTGTCCCTTGGAGAGACTCACCCCTGCCATAGGGATGTGGAACTTCCACCACTGGCTCAGGGGTGTAAACAGGAGATGAGCACCGCCCCAACATGTCCACTTGAGCAGGAAATCACTTTGGCTTGAATTCTAAACACTGTCCAGTGCGCGAGGGCCTGAAAATGCTACGGGTTCGGACTTTTGCCGCCCGCTGGGTGTACAGCACTTGCAAAACACCTTGCATGGGGTTAACGTAAGTGGCAGGGAGGCGATTTTACCGGGGTTGCCTTAATTAGCTTCTGGCACGCTCTTGGCCGGTGACGGTGACACGATGGTTTCCTTTAAATAACCTCGGAGTAAGTCAAGAAGGCGCTCATTTGCGGGCAGAGTGTCAATTTGCAACGCGAGCTGTTGAAAAACATCTTGAAACCGGGCCAACAGCCATCTGCAGCAGCACACATCCCCGACCCCTAATTATTCTCCTCCGGTCCGCGAGAAATGTGCCCTGCGAAGATCGTTAGCGAGCGTGGCTGACGATGTAGTGGCTGGAGAGGGTTGCCACCTCCCTGGTTTCTAGACCACGGTGGGAGCAGGATGACCTCTCGACACGAGCAAAATCTGTGTTGTTCAAATTAAACAAATTACATGGTTGGCGATGCTGCTGCTGTTGCTGCGTTCGCAGTGATGCACGCAGCACAATTGACCAAAATAAAACCTCGACACATTGGTCAATACCATTGTGGCCTTAAAATGATTGCCAACATTTAACTGTTCTATTATTTTCAGGCAAGTAACTTTCAACGCATTAAACTATAAAACGTATATTTTCACACATACTCTCCGATGTACGTATCGTGCATGTGCGAGTTTGTTTTAATCGATGAATCCACACATTTCTACATGCTGTGGTGTTTAGACCGTGTACGTCTAAACACAGGATTCGCTCGCTCTCGCCACCACAGTGGCGAGATGTTGACTCTCTCGCCTGGTATGCAGGAGGTCGTGGGTTCGATTCCGACCGTGACGCCAGTATATTTTGAGTTTGCATGTTCTCCCCGTGTCGCGTGGATTTTTCTCCGGGTCCTCAGGTTTTTCCCTCTACATGTAGAATCAACATGCGTTGAGAGTATTTGGCTCCCGTAAATGTCCACATGTTAAGCCACTTCGTTGAGCTATCATTCGGGAACAGGTAGCTTCTGAAAAAGAGCTACATTGCTCAGTGGGCCTTACCTGGCAAAATAAAAAAAATGTTGTTTCGTTCAGAAAGAACGGCTCAGAGGCGCGAGAAGGAACCAAAGACAATTGGGAAGGCAAGCCGTGCTGTGGGCCCATGCTAAATCTCCCCCTCCAAGTTCTACTCTCCTCTATATATTCAGGTGTTATCGGCCAATGCATGAGCGTTTACAAGTGACAGGAAGCCAGAACACTCTGGAGAAAACCCACGCGTGCGAGGGGGCAACACTCTATCCCATAGAAGTAGAACAAGTTGGGCCCCATTTTGCTGTCGTGGCTTCTCCCTGGGGAGCCCAGGGTTTGGCATCTTCCTCGTCGCTCACGGGAAGAGAGCTTCACGACATCTGCGCGTTGATCAACCAACCCTCGCACAGTGCTGGATTACAGAGCGGCACGTGCCTAAGCCACCACCGCCCGGCAAAATCGACATGACGCCAGATCAAATCCTGTTTGGGGATCAC